AAATTGCATTAAATGCCCAATAATTGATTAATTACGAATATTTTGCTCTATAGGCCGAGCAAAAAAGTGACGGCGTGGTTGGATACAAAAATTTCTACTCAAACTGGATTATTTTGGTTAATCTTGATTAATTTGAAGAAATGTTATTTTGGTTAATCTGGATTAATTTGAAGAAACGTGGTATGATTAGGGACTTAGGGTGTTCTTGAATATTAATATATTTGCTCAAAAATGATTTTTTTTTTTGTTAATTAACCCTGGTTAATTTTAAAAAATGTAGTCTAGTTAGTTGTTTGTGGAATTTGAATTAATTTATGTTAAAATAATACGTAAAATAAATAATTAATATTGATTTGATGTAAAAATATGAGAGATGATGTGGAATGGTGGTTAGTGAAAATTATGTGAGTGAATGAATAATGAATTAAATTGATATGATGTGTAAGAATAATAGTTGATATATTTAATTATATTGATAATATTAGTTGGGTTGTATTAAAATTGAATTAGATTTTTTAATATGGATTAAGAGCATCTCCAATGGTAAAATGTAGTTGTAGTCCATTACATTCTATAAACAAATTTAGCAATTTCTCAACTTTTAATTCTACAATGCACAATGTTTACAGATGTAGTGATGAAGTGGACATAGTTAATGTCCACAATGTAGAAAAGAATGTAGTTCATCCACATTCTCTTTCACATTCTAAGAGCATCTCCAATGCATAAATGTTATTATTACATAAATTTTGTCAAATGTCAATTAATTAGATGGATTGTGAATCACATAAGATAATTGTTAGGTTCACAACTTTAATTCTAAAAAATTATCTCCAATGCACAATTTAATCAAACACAATATTGTCCACTTGGCCAAAATAAGAAATTTATAAATATGAAAAAAAAAATGAATTAAATGATTACATATTTTGAAAATGGTAATAATATTTCTCTCTCCACTCTCCATTGGTTGGTTATAATGTGAATGAGAATGTGGATGAACCACATTCATCTCTATATTGTAGACATTAATTATATCCACCTCATCACTATATTTGTGATAACATTGTGCATTGAAGAATTAAAAGTGAAAAAATTGCTAAATATGTAAATGTAGAATGTAATTTACTATAACTACATTTAAATATTGGAGATACTCTAATCAACCAATTGAGAGATGAGAGAAAAAAATTATTACCATTTTTAAAATATCTACTTATTTAATTCTTTTTGTTTCTTATTTAATTTTTTTTTTGCCAAGTGGACAATATTATGTTTGATCACATTGTGCATTGTAGATAATTTTTTAGATTTAAAGTCGTGAACTTAATAAATATCTTATGTGATTCACAATCCATCTAAATAATTGATATTTGTCAAAATTTATGTGATAACAACATATTTTTTTTGATTATTTTGTACTCAAGCATCCTCTTAAAAAATTTACTTTATATCAAAGCTATAGCCTATTTGGCATGTTTTATATATTTATTTATTTCTTTATTTATATACACAAATCACAAATGTATGTGTGTGTTGGCCTAAAGTGAATAAAGGTTGTAGGTCAAAAATAGGAGGTCAGAATCGGCTTTGTCCGCATGGCGAAGTCATTAGTAGCATGGCGTGGGCGTGACAATATTCAACTTGTCTCTCTTTGCATGGACCACTTTTCCATCTCTTGCTACTTTACCCCTTCAATTTTTATTAAATTATATATATATATATATATATATCACCCACTACACTAATTATTTCAAAATACACATAAATAAATTAATTGTCCCCAACCATCTATATATATATATATATATATCCCCTTCCAAGCTTTCATTTTAGTTTTATCCATAATTACTCAAACATATATGTATCAGCAAAAATGTGCCATGCACAATATAGAATCTCTTTCTCTCTGTGTACCCTCTAATAGTTGAAGCTGCCAGCATGATCTCGAACTTGCCTTAAAAATGGAGGGGAGATAAGATCATGTGGAAGTTTCACCTGTTGATGGAACACAGATATATATATTTTGCTTCTCGTTTTTAATATGAATTTTTACCGATCGAGATATGATAATTTGTACGTTGCAGGCATTGATTTCGAGTATGAGTTCATGATTGTATTAGGAACGCAAAATGATGTATGTGCCTTTTGAAGATATTTGGTATGCGGAAATAATTTGTTTTCTAGCTATTGACTTTCGACAAATTCTTGTGTGAGTAGCCTAACAATTAGCTAGGAGGGTAGACTTGTCATATTTTTTTAAACAAATAAATATGCTTAGTTATGCTATGAAATGTTACATTTTGGTTTATATTGTTTTTCAAAAATGAGATTTCAGGTTAAAAATATATATGCTGAAAAAGTATAATTGTCTAGCCGTTAGGTATACTTAACAACAATGTTACTGCTTATTTTCGTGTTTGTGTTTTCGATGAGAATCTCAAAAGAAAATAAGATTAGTTGGTATTTCATTATGTTCCATGATTATGGGAAACATGGAAGTAGGGAACTAGTGTTAAAAAATCTTATTAGTGATGATATTCCGTATTTAGAATTGTATCTCAACACTTAACGTAAAAAATCTAAAATCTTACAAGTGATGGTATTTAGAATTGTGTCTCAACACTTGTTTGGTGCTTGTGAATTGCAAGATCCATTTTTTGGTGTCAAAGGAAAAGCTGATGATTTGTATTTGGGATTTTTTTCTCCAATTGGCCTATGAAAATATGTGTGGGATAAGGAATGTCTATTTTTGATTGCCAATCATGCGTGAACTTGATACTTTATTAAGTATTTAGCACCTTTTATCTGATTATGTTATCTTAAAAAAAAAAAAAAACCTGCTTTATTAACGTGATACAGTACCGACAAAAAGTGTAGGAATAGGATTTTCATTTTCCCCTTTTTTTGGGAAGCAGCTTGAAATTCTATTTTTCCAAGGTTCAATGAACAGCTAAATGCATAAAAAAATAGAACTTGGACAAAAAATTAGTGTAGATTTCTAAAGTCTAATGATTGTTTATTTAGCATGATTCTTATTCAAAATCTATACTTATATAATAAGGTGTACCATTTACGAAATTTAATAAGTTGAAAAGTCAATGCAATAAATGCATTACTATTTTGAGCAACATAATATAATATCATATCTATACTTATATAAAAGGAGATTCTATTTACTACATTTACTATCCAAAAAAGTCAACTGCATTAAATGCCATTGATATTTTAGTATTATAATATTTTATTTATTTAATTGATTTATTTATTTGTTTTATTTTAAAAAGATAAGTATAATAAAAAGATTTTAATAATAAAAAAATCAAATACCAAATATAAATGTACACTTTGACTTATTTGATTATATTTGGTATTTAATTATACGAAATATATTCCTATTTAGTATATACATTAAATACTTACTAAAGTATTTATTTGTTTTATTTGTTAAAGTTGAGTATAGATTTGTTTATATTATCAAATCATAAAAAAATATTAAATCCATATTTAAAAAAAAAAACATATAATTTTATAACAATTCTACTACACTATTTAACAATATTCTTTTTTAATTATATAATAAAATAATAATTAAATATTATATGGTGAACAAAAATAAGTAAAAACTGTTACTTTCTCTTATATGAATGGATAAATTTATATGCTAAAATTTAATTTTTATTAGTATAAATGTTCTAGTGAGATAATATATTAATTATTTTCCAAGCTAGCCCTAACATGCTCATATTTAATTTTTTAAAAGATGTAGTAAAAAACTTATAATAACTCTATTGTTTTTTAGACTTAAACGTTGATTAAAAGAGGTAAAAATTCCTAATTTTTTAAACTTAAACGTTAATTAACACCATAGATTGAGAGTCTATATTTAGTAAAATTCTTAATTGTAATAAAAAAATTAATTTTTGCTATATTTTAGAATATCTTTAAATTCATTATAAAAAAAAAAGAAAAAAAAACTACAATCAAAAAAGCAAGTCAGCTATATATCGATTTGTTGTACTCCTCAAATCACATTCACAATTTGGCTACAAGGAAAGGAAACTCATTGATTAAAATATTATTTTGTCAGTAGTCTTAATGTACAAGAGACTTTAAGACTCCACTTAAATATTATAAAACTTTTATTGAACATTGTACAATTTTCTTGCGTATTATAAACTTTTATTGAATATTGCATTTTATAATATAATATTCTCCAAATAAATATATATCGCGCTTCGCACGGGTCACGTACTATATATATCCCGTACAATTTTCTTTATTCATGTATATAATTATAAGCCTGGATAAATAGCCTTAAAATTGTGCACCCCGTGCATCGCACGGGTTCTGTACTAGTTTGGTAACAAAAATGATAAGCACGACATTGGCTTGACCAGAGAACAAAAGATCCTTAACTTAAGATAATCATGATTTGAATAAATCACTCTCGTCTCAATAATATACAAAGAGAAACTAAAAAGCTATACACATATTATCGAGAATCGAAAATAATAATCAGCACAAGTGAACATAAGAAATGAAGATGAAAAAGTGTCCCGACAAACGTGACAAGTGGGAAAAAAAAACTCACAGATCAAAGAACATTGAAAGTTGGTCGAAAACACAGTTATATCAACACACACCCACATGAGTGTGTGAGTGTGTGTTCCAGAATCGAATCTATGGAACACACCGATTTGGATCAAAATTTCTTAGAAAAATACTTCTTCACGTGTCTAAAGGTCTAAATACACAATCCTATACTCCATTTAGAAGACTAAAAAATTGCTGCCTATCCCAAAAAGAAACCCACGAGCAAATACACCAATAAATATCAAAAACTACAAAAAATTAAATGGGTTCTTTTATTTTCCTGTTAGCTTTTATTTTACTTATATCCTGCACCACAACTCCTTTCATTGCCCCCAACTCGCCATTTGATGTGAGATTCTCCAAATATTGAAATTTAAATATACATGTAGAGTTATCCACTTTCATCACCACCAATACCCTTTTTTCCTTGCATCCAAAATTTTATGAACTTCGTCTCGAATTTCGATGGCATCTACTACTCTCTGCTTCAAATCTTTCGTTAGACTAAAAATATCAGTTCCCTGCAAAACAGCATTTGCTTTACAAGATGAATTTAATTTGTTACTATGGATATCAACAATCCTGAAATCCAAAACTAGAAAGAAAAAAATTACTGATTCAAATTATATAAAGAGATGTTAAAGGTCATTTACCTACAGTGATTATTATGTGTTTTATTGGACTTGGCGATGTAAGAGCAACATCCAATCACCATAGCCATTCACGCCACTGACTTGATCCTCCACGAGATTCGTGAGAAGGAAAAAACTTTCTCTCGGCTGTTCACCTTGCCTCACGAGATGAACTAACTGATAATATGACTGGTCGCCCTCCCGAATTTTCTCAAGTATTTTCATCAATTTTCTTGACATTTCATTGTCTCGTGGCTTAAGGCTAACCTGGGTTTATCAAAACATGTTCAGAGAGAGAGAGAGAGAGAGAGGAGAGAGAGAGAGAGAGCAAGAGGGAGAGAGAGAGAGAGGGAGAGAGAGAGAGAGAGAGAGAGAGAGAGAGAGAGAGAGCAAAAGAGAGGAGCTGACATTTGAATGGTATTGGAATATCACTTGTGAGTTGTCCCACATTGATTCTATAGGGAAAATGAGTCTAGTATATAAGTCTAGTGGGCTACTCCTCCCATCACCAATTGGTTTTGGGATGGAACCTCACTATGGTGCTACTAGGCTCACCCTCTTATGGTGGGCTTCATCTGGTGGGACCGCACTCTCTTCCCAAGATTTAATAAATGGTCTGCAGCCAAATCTTCCCCGAGCAAGTTCCTAGCTATATCAGGCGAAATCGACCTCCCGAACCAAATCACAAACTGCAAACCATCATCAAAGATGTATAGACCTCTGGTGTCTAAGCTCTCTGTAGTAAGTGGTAGCCTCTTTGAGATGTCGTATTCTTCATTCTGGGAAAGAAATAAACGAGAATTCGTGAGAGGTCCTTCACAAAACCCAATGTTCATGATTCTACCAAAGAAACTTACTTTCAAAAGACAGTCATCCAAACGAACGAGGTCCGGATAAAGAAGCTTGAGCAGATTCTTAACAGGTAATGCCATCATGGTGAAAGCAGACGCGCACCTTTCGCTGAGCTGGACGTCCGAGTACACACCACGAAGGGGCGTCGATTTACATAACGCTAATCCGTACAAGGGTAAAAATTTTAGCGACTCGGGGTAAATCATCCTTCCACTCAAGCGATGTTGGACGCCGTAAAGATTTCTGTATTCTCTGAGGGCTTTGACAATACGTACCTGAACCGCATTTCGGGCGTCTTCAAGCTTGGAGGAAAGGGTTTTTTCAATCGCTGCATATTAGTTAGTGACATACTTTTTAGCCAGTGATCTATTCGTCAAAAATTAAATCACAAGTGGTCGTTAAAGTACATTTAGAGAAGGTAAGTGAGAAGTAAATTTGTTACATACCCAGCCGAGAGAGTACGGAAATAATTGCTCCAGTGTCGGCCAAACGGTACATTTCTCCAAGATCTGCCACAACTGGAGCAGCTGCAGTGTGCACCCTAATACGCCTTTCTCCGAAAGATGACGTGTATCTTAGCAATTGTTAAGAATTTTTTTTTTTTTTTTCTATATATGCTCTCCAATTTCAGCTCACAATGTCCAACTTTAAAAACATTAAATAAATAGAAGGGGGGAGAGAGAGAGAGAGAGAGAGAGCAGCCAGATATCTATCCAAGATGAATATATTATCAACCATTCAAAAGAACAGGAAGTTCCTTTTAGAAATGGTTACACCATGAAAGATTATAAAGTTGATTAAAGAAAAAAGAAACATGATAAATGAACACGTTAAGTTACTCATGTGAAGTATTTTGCAAAAAGGATACAACAATGCAACTTGAAAGTACACGGTCTGAGTGGCCAAGAGTGTTTCTTCAAGAGACAGTTGTGCAGCATAAGCTTTATCACAGTCAACAGCAGGCAGTGCAAGTAGATCTGTGGATCTGAGCATAAAGTTACCATGATAAGTTGTGAAACGGACACCTACAGACGAGAAGACATAAGCTTACAACATTCCATCTAGGTCAAAGACAAAGAACTAAGATGGAGTCTCACAAGTAACGAATTTTCATTTTTCTACCAGCGATAAAATATTTGTACCTTTGCCACATCTTTTCCTCATGACAGCTTCCCATGCAGTCTCTCTAGTGAGATCTCTGGCTAGTTCATGTCTCAACTTATCTCTGTGAATACTTGCCTGGAAACTTGGATAATAATACACCTGACCACCAGTATATTTTGCCAGCGTGCCTGTAGAGCATTAAGAGATCAGGTTAAGTTAAACGTAGTAGTCCAAATAGCGAATGGAGACCAAATTCAAGTCGAAATGGTAAAGACAGTCTCAGCAAAGTGAAAAAGGGGGAAATTTTAGTTAAACGGTAGAACTTCATATATGATAATATCATCTTACATGAATGCCTCTTGCATATTTTCACACTACATCTCGCAATACCAAAAAGTTACAAGACAATGGAATGGTAAGAAAAACCGAATCACAGGGAAATTTCACGGTGTCATTACATCTTTCACAATTTTGAGGCAGAATTAGAAAGACAAGGTTATTCATGAAAGGATTCATCTCTAGAATTCACCTCGCGGCATTTCAACATATTGGCGCTGCTTCCTTCTATTTCTAATTTCTCTATGTTAATGTGATATCATTCTATTTCATTACCTATTACATTAACAAAAGGATACGTGAGTTTCCTATACCTCAATTTATTGAATCTCGCTGCATGGGTCCTTCATGTGCTTTAGTCAGTTGCAAAGGGGCATGTTAACGACTTATAATATACTTATACGGTATCTTAAATGGCATGCTTAATCAACCAGTTTAATATTTATCTAGTGTAAGGCAATGGAAATGTTGAAACGAGCATAAATGAAGTTATAGTCATTTGATATTCCAATCAAAATATCAAGGTTGAGGAAGGATAACGATTACCTAATGATGCTATATCTATGTACTTATCGCTGAAAGCATAAAGATTTACAGCAATCTGATACTTAGTAAAATCAGCGGCCATCTGTTTATAAAATGTATCCTCCGGTACACGTAAAGTATGCTCCTTATCTATCCCATAGACACGAATATCATCCCCACGCAACCTCAGGCTGCCAACACCAAGTGATGGCAGAGAACTCTGGAAAATCAGCAATTTACCACCAAGTTGGCTCTGACAATGAGAATAAGTTAGTATCGAGCTTAACAGAAACCAATTTCCTAGAACTACAAGTGCATCAACAGAAAATCATAAAATTATTTGTCTAAAAGCCAAATTAGGCAATCTTAAGAATTTACTTCAGTAATGCAAATGCAAGTCAAAAGTTGAGAAGGGACCAGCATACCATAATCATGAATACAGCTTTAAGAGCAGGACCGAATGCAGATTCAACATTCATGTTCTCCTGGAACATGGAGCGCAAACTATCAAGGAATGCCTCTATCACATCTCTAGATTCTGATAGGTTCACTAGAAGATCATCGGGCAACGGAATAAATATATCATCCAAATCTGAGACAACCATCATCTGAGGCTGTGTCAATGATGACTGATACGAAAAAAGGCCATTAGTTATTCACCAGAGTTAAAGGAGGATTACAAATACTGTAAACTGACAACTGTACAGTGACACTCTACCTTCATGTTATAGAAATGTATAGTGCTATCAAAAGTAATGAAACCAATCTGTGTTCGAGGATAACCAGGCAAAGTGTCTAAACAAGACTTAATAGTTTGTGCCATAACCTGCAAGAAATAATGTTTATTTGTAAAGATTCAGTAAGCAAAACAACAACAACAACAACAACATAGCCTTTTAGTCCCAAGCAAGTTGGGGTAGGCTAGAGATGAAACCCAAGAGAAAAAACTTAAACAAAAAACTAAAAGAAAAAGAAAAATAAATGTCAATCATCGTGAATGCTTAACATATCCAAGTGTTTCGACAGGTGGATACACAGGTTTTGTAACCAAATTTACAGCAGAGACAATAATTATCATATGATATGAAGGAAAACACTACATAGATTTAAGCAACAATGAATGTCTTTCAGGCTTCCCAAACACTCAGATTTACCCCTAAAATTTTTGTTAAACATCAACAAGTTATCCATCTCATTAAAATTGAATTTAAATTGTTAAAGTTCAAATGTATGCCATGTAAGAAACAGAGCTAGCCTAGCAAGCAAAGAAATCCCCTTTCCGACAAAACTAAGGTGCCGCTGGATCTGCAGTTAGCATATGGCTCAGTACTGCTACCTAGCACAGAATAAAGGTAAAAAAAATTAGAAACTGAAGTTTTATCTTCTTCGACCACATAATATTTTTTAATACCAAATATGTTTGAATCCTACGGTTTTGGATGAATAGCAAAGGATTAACAATGCCCAAAACATAATCTCCTTTCCCCTCTCATTCATTCCAAACATTATAATTACAGATGAATAAACCCAAGAATATTTAATCAACTCCTATGATTGCTACTTATTATAATCAAAACGGCATATTTCCGCTTTCAGATATATAATTTGGTAGATATAGTGGATATAGAAAGTCAACTTTTCAAATTATGACAGATAATAGCTGGAATCTAATTCTTACAAAAAAGATAACACATCCTATTTTAGAGAAATAGATATATCATTCAAATAGACCTATAACTGTCAACTCCCTATTTCCTTTCAACAGTAATTCATGATGAAACAGTGAAAGAATAACTAGCCCGATATACACACACACACACACACACACACACACATATATATATATATAATATATTTGATGGAAAACATTACCTCTAGCATTCCGTTTTGGATTGCAGATATCGATACGTCAATTAGAAAAAAATACAGAGGTGGCATTGGGGGGAGGACCATGTACTCAGCCGGCGCGATAAATTCAACACTACCCTTAGTTAGTTCAGGCCTCTGATCCAAATCGACTCTTCTACCAGTAGCATCCAAGTGCGAAAAATATTCTCCTGGGACTGGAAATGAGAATGTTGATGAATCAGTTTTGAACCGTTGCAATCACAAAACCAATTGAATCAGCCTCGAAGATAACCTATTTTTAAACTATGCCAAAAAGACTTAAAAAATGTGTTGGATTGCCATGCAGCATGATACAGTTTAAATTAGAGATAATATCCTCTGATTATACTAGAAGAAATGCCTCATCAAACCTGCACTTTTAACAGTCAGAAAAACCATACCTTCATTGGGCAGTGTGCAAATATTGCATTTCCACTTTGTTCCATTGTCCACGAACGTGACATATGGATTCACATAAGTGCGGCACCTCCTACAACGAATAATGCCCGTCGCGGCAAAATTCACTATTGGAACTTCCTCCTGAACGACAGCCTGAGCGAAAAGTTAGAAAAGATAGATTGATAGTGGCAGATGATATAGCTGTAAACACAATGTCAATTTCAAAGCGGACTAACCCCAGCAGGTGCTTCTGCCAGAGGAGACACAACAGCCCCTAAAGGCAAATACCACCGAGACGCCAGGGACTGAGAATTTGGTATGGCGCTTGTCGTCAGTCGTAAGACTCTAGAACTACAATTCATTGGATACAACTTGGCAAAACACTTGGGCTCAACATCACCATCCAATGGCCTCGGAAAAGCTCCAGTATCATGTCCTGCATCAAACGATCCTGGTACGGATCCAAGGGAGAGTGAACTAAAATCTTCTGCTAGTGCCTGTGGAGTTGTGGTGGGTGGTCCAAGGCCATGTTGATGAATTTGGTTCCCAGAATAAAGCCCTGATGGAGCTGTAATTGGAGGACCAGGAACATACCCTCTTTGTTGACCCTGAAAAGGAGTTGGAGGTGCTGGTGGAGCAAAGCCTCCCTGTTGCAATGGGAAGTTACCTGGCTGCATAGGTGGAGCTTGAGCAACAGAATCTGGTTGTGCCTTAGCATACCCAGGAAAAGCTGGCCGAGAAGAAGACTGGGGAAGTTGGGCATTCGGCCTTGCGAACGGAGAGTGTTGATCTGCAGGCAAGGGGACATTCATGTTGGGTTGTCCTGTTTTCCTGCTTTGAGGTGGAGAACCCATGGGAATTGGACGTGGTTGAAGTTGTGAAGGGAAAGGGATGGGATTCGTAAAGGAGGGATGTGGAGGAGGTGGTACTTGACCAGTTGACATGACTGAAGGAGTCGAGAAATGCTGAAATCCTGGAGTAGGTGGGGGCCTAAAGGGAGAGACTGTTTGTCCTGTCACAGGCCCCGATGCTGAAAAAGGTGTTGCCGTTGTTGACTGTGGAGCAGCAAAAGGTGTTCCAGCTGGTCTTGCTGGGTAACTTGGACGGTTAGGACTTTGGGTCCCCATGAAGATATTACACCTCAAGCTTGATCACCAAAGCTTCTGCAAGCGATCATGTAAAATACGTAAATAGAAGAAATCAAATAAAAAAATAAAAGAAGGTTATTTCACCATGGCTGAAGAAATGAACTTACTGTAAGTATTTATTTTATTCGTTACCAAACAATCCAGAGGATAAAGGGTTCAACCGAACATCTTAATATAATTATGTGAAAACATCACATTCACACAACATTAAGAAACTGCATGGGGCAAACAGATGACAGGGTAACAAGCCGAAGTTCCTAGTGTTTACACATCCATTGGCTAAGTAGAGATCAGAAAATATTAGACTTGCTTCTTTCTCAAGTGACAGATAAAGGAAGGTTGCTGTTTCAAGCACGCGAAAGACGACGTATATTTCTCACGACATTAGGCTGAAACTATGATAAATAATAATTAACAAAAAGAGACAATAGTACACAACAAATTCGGCTAATGCGGCACTTTTACTACACTCAGCAAATTACTACTTCGCCAGGAAAAAAAAATCCTCACAGGACCAAATTATTAACACACCAGAATCTATCATTATTTTGATCGAGGAAAGTAGGTAAATGCACTCAGTCTCAGTTACGGAAAAGGAAACAATTTAGAACGAGCTTTTCTGCAACACCAATCATGCGTTCATACTTGCAGCTCGTACTTAATCTACAAAAAAGCCAATTTCGAAGTTGAACGGGACAACCTCAAATTTTCGTTAGGAAAATACAGGATTTCGTCACAACTGCTATCCAGCAGGCTGGCAGCAGCTCGCCGAATAAAATAAATTGGAAAACAAATAAAAATATCAATTACCTGGTCGGAGATCTCGCCGGCGGAGAAAGAAATCGCAGAATATTAACCCGGCGATGGGAGAAGCGGGTGCGGCGAACACAAGCAAAACGAGCTGCTCTGATTTGTAGTCTGTAATTTGATGTAGCAAATTATATGTGTACCGAGTAAGTATTCATGATTGTGTTTGATTAACAACTAAGACGACCTTCTCTAACCGTACGCTAAAACCAATCGCAAACCCAAAAAAATCCTCCAACCGAACTGCATAACCCAACCCAAAATGCGTTCTGCAAACGCAATTTTGCGTTTCCTTGTTCACAAACGCAAAACCTTTATAATATTGCTTTTTAGTCCTTTGCTTTATCATTTTTACTTTTACCTATTATATTTAATAATATAATTTATACTTATATAATGGTTTTAATATCATTTAACATATCTTATTGTTTTAATAAGGAAACGATTTATTTATAAGATTTTTAATCATTATATGATTCAATCCAATATCATTTAATAAATTATATATATATGGTGTGTATCTCCTCTAAAAAATTAATCCAAAAATTATGAAAATATTATATTTTCATATATTCGTAAAAATTTAGAAACAATTTATCAATATTTTAATAAAATATTGGTAATAAATAGAAAAAATGTGATTTTTCTATAATTTTCTTCAATCAAATTTAAAATAATGGTATAGTCTAATTTGTAAAGTTTGTAAAATATGTGTAATTTTTACTTATTTAATAAATATTATTTCATAATTTTTCCTTTATAATTTATTTTAGTACATAAATTTCAAATCGAATTTAAATAATAGTGTTATTTTATTGTAAAAGTGTAAAATATGTGGGTAGTATTGAAAAATTGTAATAATTGATGTAGAAGAGAATATTTTGAGAATATTCTTTTGGGTTTGAGAATGAGTTTTTCGGTCGGAGATGGATTACTGTTTGATGTGACAGTTACTGCAAAATGAGTTTGAGAATGAGTTTTTCGGTTGGAGTCGGAATAATCGTTTTGCTTCGAAACACAATTAACGGGTGCTTAAGAGGGTTATGGATTCAACTAGTTTTTATTTGGTTTGATTTTTAACTATAGTTAATTTTGAAAAAAAGTGAAATAATTAGTTGTTAGTGGATATATTAAAATAATATTCAAATAAAATAATTAAAGTTGATTTAATGTAAAGCATGAGAAAAATGATTAGAAAAGATACTTAGTTAAAATTATGTGAGTGGATAAATAGTGAATTAAACTTGATGTGATGAGTAAGAATGATTGGTTGATATTATTTCACTGTATTGATAATATTGAGAATAGTGTTGAGTTATATTTGAGTTTTGATTAGTTTTTTTTGAGTTGAGTTGGATTGATAAACAATCACTCTCGAACAGTTCACGAAAAAAAAAAGTATGTATGGAGTAACAACAGAGATGATTTACCATTTTTTATTTTACTTCTCGACATCAAGCTTTTCCATGGGCCTGGGCAATCTTTAACCGCTTTGGATTCAGGTTTAATGCTTGCTTCATCACCGCGATTAATTTACGTTTTCAGTTTTTACTAGTACAAGACCCGTATATTACACACAGGTTGTTATTAAAAAATTATTCTTAAATTTTAAACATGTAACACGACTATAAATAATCAACATATTTATGGATAATCCGAATTTAATTATTTTTGGATTTGAAGTAAATTAAAATCTACCCAAGCCTGAAACATATAATTTTGCCACATAGGATCCGGAAGCATGCGAGTCTGCCACTTAGACTCTGCACGTTTTGAATTAATATATGGAGGGATTTTCAAATAACAACTAGTACGAAGTCGGGATAAATCGTGTAAATTAAATCAATAAAGTATTATTAATTATTAGAAAAATAATTTAAATATTAATATTAAAATTTTATTATTTATTTATTTTTTATTATATATAATAATTTAATATATAATTTAATTATTTAATCTGTTATAAAATAGTTGTTATTTTAAAATTTTTGTTTAGAATTAAGAACATGAAATCTAACATATTTAAACATTATTAATAAGGGCTGCTTGCAAAAATACTTATGTCTTTCTTGTTACTCATACCTTATTACAATATAATATATCGATTTTAAATAAGTGATGATAAAATTGAAAAATTGCGACAAATATTATAAATCAGTACTTAGTTTAAACAAATGTAGTGTATTATTTTAAAGTATCAAAATTTACTAATTTTTAATTGCGTCAATATTATTTTAAATTTTTTTATATAATTTATAATAACGTATATTATAAATATTTTGAATTTTCTATTTAATATAATAATTCATATATCAGTTCGACACCAATTGATTTATCATTATAATTTAACAATATACATCAGAAATATTTTATTTTTTTTTCTGAAACTACAGTTTACATCGTTGCTCGACAAGCCATCAATTAGTACAAAGACAAAAAAAAATTGCATAAAAATCTTATGATTTAAATTATAATTATGATAAAAAGATATAATTAAGAATCATTTTGCAGTGTAAAATTAATAAGTATGACATATTTTTTTCTGTCAGACGGTAGACGGACTGGATTAAGAAAGTTCATATGGGCATCAGATTTAAGCCCAAATAGAGATGGGCCAAGCTAGAATTGGATAAGAGCTAAAACAAAATATAAATAACACAAACAAAAAAAAGTGTAATATAAACTTGATAAAATCACATCAAATTCTTGTAGAAAAATCTTCTCCAGTCACTTCTCTCTATTTCGGTATTTCCTCGAGCCGCCGGTTGCCCAAGCTTCCGACAGGAAGTGATTTTCATGCTCAATCAGAGTTGTTTTGATCGAGGTATACACACTGTTCAGCAACTAGGGTTTTAGGGGTTTTGTGGTTGAATATTTCTTTCCTTTTTTTTTTTTTTGAACTGTTGTTCCTCCTATGTCTTTTTCATGGATTCCCGCTTGCTTGCTTGCCTTCTCACATTCTTGAAATTTTGTATTAGTCTGTGTTTTATCGGAGACTGGTGTTGAATTGCGAATGTGGGTTTTTGGATTTTTGAGCTTTTAGAATTGTACCTTCAGAAGAATTAATATTGGGTGACATCCCTTTTGGATGCATTTGTTAGCATTTGAATTGATACTCAATACCGGTGGCTGGGTTTTTTCTTAAATTGAAAAATGTCATTTTGGTCTGGCAGATTCATTTATGGATTGTGATTTCTTTCACTTGATCTGAGTTTATAAGAGGAACTTAATGGTAGATATCGTTCATATGGCCGTTCCTGTACTTTTGGCTCTTAACTTTTTGTTTTATCTCAAATGGTTTGAGTGGGATCCATTAGATTTTTCAGCTAAATGGTGGGGCTGCGAGATGCAACATTTTTAATTGTAGAAAGGATAAATATTTTCCTCCAAATGTATGTGCTACTGAGTTTCCTCTTCGGCAAAACTTGGTTACTTATTTTGTATAAATTTCTCGCTTAATTTATATTTTCTCAATGGGCATTTTGAAATTTGATTGCATGGATTTTACACACTTTCTTCTAGCATTTGTTTGAATAAATTCAATCATTATATCTTAGGTGCAGTCCACCCAATGTTAGTTTGTTCTGTGGCTTAGAGCATTTCAGGAGTTGCCAATCAAGTTTTTCTGTAGCAACTAACAACATTAGATTTTAGAAAAAATTAATCTTCATTGATTTGGAAGGATATCAACTATCCATGTTGGGTGTTGTATTCCTGCAGAACTTTCACCCCTTCTTCAATGAAGCAGTCTGTTTTTCTTTGTTGCTTCATTTTTTTTCTCTCCAAATAATAAGGTTTTAGGGTTTTGTTTTTGGAAAACCCCCAGTTATATAATATCAGGCTTTAGGCTTGTTTAGGTTACATTAACTTCATGAACTACTGTATTCAACCATTTTTGTGCTTTATTGATACCTTTTAGTTTTTTCTGAAATATAAGCAAGAAAAGGGATGGATTGTGGTTGATGTAAAATCTATGTCGAAATTGGTGAAGTATGTGTTATCTGTTGGATTCTTGCTTTCAGCTGTAGTTGCTCTAGTTTCTATTGCTGGCAGTTTTTCTTTATCCTTAATAGTTATGCATTCCATGTCTTTGTTTCACTTGCTTATTCCATGGGAGCTTATACATTTATTCGTGATATTCTTCCAACAAGCATGACTTCATGTTCATTTGATACTATTGGCAAGCTTAGAAGTATTGAAGCATTTCAATTACTATTATTTTCTTTATTCTTTTGAATTTATATCTGGTTTAGATTAGAGCATCAACTTGTGGAATGTTGTAATCCTGTAGACTATGCACGCTGATCTATCTCCCTTCTTTAGTTTGCTCCTAGACTAATGTATATCTGTGCACATTGTACCCTTGAACATAATGAATATATTCACTCCACTGTAGTTTTCTTAATTTCTTATACCTCATTGTTGTCTTAACACCCTGACCAGAATGATGAAGAAGCCAAAGAACCCATTAGTTTACTTGGATGTTTCAGTAGATGGAGGTACTGCTGACAGAATTGTAATCGAGGTAATAATGTCATCCAAACCTTCAAATGGGTTGAACATAGACTTGTTTTGTAACACATGTCTTAATTTTTCATTGCTCTAATTGAATTCCTGTGTTATGCAGTTGTTTGCCGATGCTGTTCCTAAGACAGCTGAAAATTTTCGGGCTCTCTGCACAGGTAAATTAAATTACCATATATTTATTTGTTTGGGATATCAAATTCTAGCTCCCGAAGATTGCATTCTAGGACTCTTGTTTTGGATGTTTAGTCCTGAGAGTACATACTTCGGCATTGTGCACTGCATGATTGGTAAAATGTTTTCACTTTCCGTTAAAACATTACATTTCCATTGTTCCCAGAATTAACTGGATGTAACTGAAGAAGTCATTTCTGGGGAATATCTCTGAACTCCTGGGTCTTAAAAGAATATTTTCTTCTGATATTACTTGTGACCGTTTTGAGTAGCTCAAATGTACTTCTTGTATCTCTGTATAAGAATATTTTTTCGACTATTTCAGAACTAGGTTGTGTGCGATAAGTTTCTTGCTCCTCCATATATGCTTTCTATTCAATTAGGAGTTTTCCCTTACTGCTCATAGTTTCGAGGTCTCAGGAAGGTTTATCTTTGATCTGACCCATTCTCTCTTTCTCTCTCCATTCTCAACCCTAAAGTGCAAATTGAAAACTATGTTTGGACTTCATAGAATGCAAAAATGGAATCTTCCTTCTACTTTGACTCTTATGGTTTTTAATTGTTTATTAGGCTTATCATGTATGGAGTACAACTCATTGGAATAACGTTTTGGTTGTGCAATCTCTTTTTCAATGGTAATGAATAGCTGTTTGCAGGTGAGAAGGGTGTTGGAGCCACAACTGGGAAGCCTTTGCACTATAAGGGCACAGTATTTCATCGGATCATTAAAGGATTTATGGCACAAGTATGTTGTTCATTTGCTTATAAAATAATAATTGCAATTGGGGAGGAGAAAGAATGTAATGATTACTGTTTCCTGATGTTTCGTGCAGTGGTGTTGTTCTGACATGTATTGTCTGTCTGAGCTTATCCATTTTATGAACAGTATATAAAGAGTGCTACTGCTATGCTTTTCTCGCTCTTAGTGATCTATTTTGTTTGATTAGGTTAGATCAACAGCAATATTTTCACATATGTAGTACCACTTTGCACCTAACTGGAAGGGGGTACTCTTGTGTACATATTATGTTGTACTATCTTTTATAACTTTTAACTTCACACGCCTAATCTGTTTTTTTTGTTCTTCTTTCTTCTTCTGAAGGGCGGTGACTTCTCGAAAGGAGATGGTATGCTTTTCTTCAGTCAAATAAAGCTATTGGATACAAAATTCATCTCCTGTTTAAGACGAGTAAAGCACACTTTTGTAATGATTTGCAGGTACTGGTGGAGAAAGTATTTATGGAGGCAAATTTCGTGGTATGCTTTCTGCCACACTCCCGCCCTTCCCCATTACTTGATGCTAATTTGTGGACGTAACATTTTTTTTTTCTTTTTTTAAATATTACAGATGAAAATTTCAAGTTAGGTCATAAAGAGCCTGGTCTTCTGTCTATGGCTAATAGTGGTCCAAACACAAATGGATCTCAGTTCTTTATTACTTTTAAGCAGCAGCTTCATCTTGATGGGTATATTTTACGCAGAGTTTGTTAAATGTCATGCACTTGATTCACATGTCGAACTTAATTCAAAACCAGCAAGATACTCCTTCCCTCTTATCTTGCAGAATACATGTTGTGTTCGGAAAGGTTGTGAATGGAATGGAAGTTGTCAAGAAAATGGAACAATTAGGATCATCTGGTGGAAAACCATCCGGGCTCGTAAAAATAGTTGATTGCGGTGAGATGTCCAAAATCGATCCACAAAATGCAGTCGAGGTCGATAAAGGTGTGCTGTAATTGTGAGAATGAAACAGGTACCATTTTCTTCATCTTCATCTAATTTCATTCTGACATTTCTTCTCATGATTTGGTCCAGAGAAAAAGAAAAAACCAGCAAGTTCGGATGGTCAGGCAAAAGGGAAGAAGAAAGAACCTATCAAGACTAAGAGGAGAAAGAGAAGCTACTCTTCATCTGATTCCTACAGCTCTAGCTCTGACTCCTACTCGGATTCGGACTCAGGCTCGGACTCGTCAAGAACTGAGTCACACTCGGATTCTGATTCAGATACTGATTCATATTCTTCGACTTCATCCAGTGATGGACGCCGAAGGAAGAGAAGGAAATTGGTAAAGAGAGGAAGGCATCAGCATGGGAAAAGGAAGCAAAGAGAGCGTCGTAGTAGAAGATCAAGACGAAGGTCTAAAAGGTTCTTCTCTATAGTTTCATTACACTTTAGTCCTTTCCGTGTCGTGTTTGTCGAGCAAGCATGTGGTCATACTAATGCATGCAATTCTCTTGGATAAATTCTTTTTTATTTTTATTTTTTTTTTACTGTATATTCTTTTAATTTGAACTCTTAGGAGCTCAGGGAGTTCTAGTGATACTGATAGCAGTGACAGTGATAGTAGCAGAACTTCTGCTGATGAAAATGTGCGCAGAGGCAAATCTTCACGGAAAACAAAGGCATTAAGCGATGGCAGTGATAGCAGCAGAACTTCTGATGATGAAAATGTACGCAGAGGCAAATCTACACGGAAAACAAACGCATTAAGCGAAGAAGAAAAAAAATCTGCTCAAACTCTTGGTATTTATTCCTTTTTACGCTCCAACTTGTAGATATACATGTTACACTGAGTTGAACTACTACTCCATATCTGAAATTGTCTTTGATAACGATTGTAAATGTGAAGGGAATGTGAAAAAGTCACCGGTTTCTCCCCTAGGATCCATCCAGCAGACAAAACACAATGATAGGAAAAAAAGTGGGGATGACTCGTCTCATGAAGAGGGTGAATTTTCTCGAAAGAGTGATAAACATGTGAATAACAACAAGGAGGACCTTATCAACAATAGTCAAACTGGTATTGGATTGCGTCAATCGGATAATTCAAGCCGATCCAGGTCTTCCCCAGTGATTTGCCTAATTCTTTTATCTTTTTCTATTCCCTGCCTTGAAAATTAATTCCGACTTTTATAAATACCAATCTCAGTTTAATCACTATTATCATTTTCCATGCATCGACAATATGAAATAACATATATTATGGTCATGAACTTGTATTTTATTTTATGGTTAGATTTTTATCACTAAGGGTGCACAGTGTTACTCCACTAGATTCGGTATTTTAAATATCGAACCAGTAGTATACATAAATTTCTAATATCAGATTTGGAATAATAATAATAAAAATAAAATCAATGTATTCATTAAGTCCCAACTTCTCAATAAGATAAAAATAAGGTTACAAATCTCAAAGTTTTAATTTTTTTAAGTTAATGATTAACTCCTCTTAAAAAAATCTGGGCAGTATGGTACGGTATATTAATCATTGAGTAAAGTATCACATTCTTATTTTTGACTGGCAGGAGCCTAACACCAAGCCGAAGTCCTAGGTATGGAGAGAATAATAAGAAAGAATCTGGTCAGCAAGGCGCCATAAATCCTTCAAGGAGCTCTGCAAGAAAAGCTCCTCAACCTTCTACTTCTAATCATGGCAGGGAGTTATCGCGAAGCCGCTCACCAGGTGGAACCGCAAAACGCGTTAGGAAAGGCAGAGGCTTCACTGAAAGATATGCCTTTGTTAGAAAATATCGCACGCCGTCTCCAGAACGTTCTCCCGGTAGATCCTATCGTTATGGTGGAAGATATAATCACAGGAACAACGACAGGTGAATTTGTACTTGAAAAGTTATCTCTTTTATACGTTCCCCTTTCTTTTTTTCTTCCTCTCTTATTCTTTTTCTTTTCCCCCTTATTTTGATACTCATTACAACCTGGGTGTTCCAAGCAGTCTTTTTTTGTTTGGAGCAGTTTTGATAAAAAGCTGAAACCAAACGAGTGAAATGTATTATTGTGGGATGTTTAAGTTTCACACGGAATTAATTTAATTGGTTTTCATGTTTCCAAACAATTATTTGTCGAATATTAGCTAATTTAATGACTGTTTTTAAGGAATTCAAGCTACAGAAGTACATATGAACACTCACGACATTACCGAAGTTCGCCTAGGAGAGGAAGGAGCCCGCCAAGGTATAGTCATTTTGCTCCTTTCTTTGTGTCTTGATGTTTATCAGTTATCACTCCTCATGCCTGTCTTATTTAATTTAGTAGAAATTACACTCGATGTTTCGTCTAATTTAGAAAGAAAAGAATGCCTTTTAAAATTTCAAATACCCTCCTTATTGCTAACACTCTCTCCGAGTGTCGAGTACAATTTCGTTCACCCCCCTCTAATGGGTGTGCTTCCTACTTTCTTTTTATATGGAAGCTGCAAGTAGGACCCACACCTATTACAGTGACCGAAAACCATATAACCTCGACAAAAAGTGCAATGTGTAAAATAGGAACTACTATCGGTTACTCCTAATATGGAAGCAACTTATAATCTTGAAGCTTGAAGGATAATTGTTTTAAATAACCTTTAAGTTCACGTTTACAACTGTATCTTTGAATTTTTTTCAAGTTCATCGAACCTTATGGTGGTGTTTAAGGTACAAGCTCGATTTTTTCCAAATTTTATCGTATTAATTCAATGGTGTTTAGGTACGAGCGCAAAAGAAGTAGAAGCAGGTCCACTTCACGAAGCCCTGGTCCCTACCATAGCCGCCGCCGGCCCACAAGAAGTCCGGTTCGCAGCCCAAGCCCAATAGACAGGCGGCCCGTTCTTAGCGACCGATTGAAGTCGCGTTTGGGCCCACAGAAGGACGATCGGCCCAGTCGAAGGCGCTCTATTTCACGATCTCGTTCGCCTGTAAGTCCACGATCGAGCCCTTCAGGTGGTGGACAACGAGGCTTAGTTTCGTACGAGGATGTCAGTCCACATAATGGGGTGAATTAGTGTTACTTGCAAGTTGTTTGTTGATCTTAGTTGGTTTCTATCTTGGATGTTGGATTTGTGTTGTCATATTGCTTGCATTACTATGTGCGTGTGTGTGTGTGTTTTCAAAAATCTTGATTTGGTGTGCTTTTGTGGGAGTTCCAAGTTTGTGTGTTTTAAAAAAATTTCGCTTGCATACTGAGTTTGTATTTGGTCCTATTGACAAACTTAATTGAGATGTCCTTATGATATTTTTATTTATTAAAAGTGCTGTTGATTTGTGAAAATCTTTTCTTGTGTGTGATGTTATCTATGTAGTGATTCGCCGTATCCCATAGTAGAATGAAAATGTCCGTAGTTGGTATGGACTTGAAGAGCCAATAAGTTGAGAAAGTTCAGTGAAGAAATAGAAATTGGTTATAGATTATTTTAGAATAAATTGTTTGAATGAAAGATGGTAGAAAAAAATATTTTATTAGCAATTTTAAAATTATGAATGAATGTGAGATAAAATGTATGATATAAATGATTGAACCAATTGGTATTGAAAAATATGAATAAGTATCGACTTTAATCATCTAAATGGTTTGAGAAGAAAAAAAACAAAAATTAGATTAGTGTTATTTTAATCTTTATTTGATCGTAGTCTGACAAAGATTTGTCCGACAAAACAGAATCAGATATTCCTGTATTTTATATTTGAAATTACCGACTTCTTAAGATCGGCATAGCCGGCCGTCTAGGAGCTGGAACATGTCTAGGAGCTGGAACATGACTCACGCCGAACCTGAATTCGATCCTCCCTCTAGTCACCACTCACTTGGGTGTTTATATATATATATATATGTAATATTTTTAGACATTATGTTAGTTCACTTAATTGTACATTATGTAATTAGGTTTTCTTAAATTAAGAATTTAATGAAACTTATTGGAATCTTGTTATGTGAAATTGCTTAAATTTGGTGTTGGTTGCTACAATGTTGTTATGATGCGTAATAAAACCAGTGTTCTAGAAGTCGTTAGACGTCCGACCAACGCCTAATGCCTAGAGCGCCTAGGCAAGGCCTAGAAATTAATATTAAATATTTTATTTTTTTTCACTACCTAAAAAATGAAACTAATACAACTTATATAATAAATCTACACACCTAAATACAAAGAATAATATTAATATATTATTAATGAAAATTGAAAACATGATAGCAATTAGCAACCCACATGACCACAAATACTATTGTAATTTGTAACAACCACAATCTCAAAACAAACTCCAAATCTAAATAAGTATAACCACTAGTAGTACTAAGTACATGACCACAATGTCAAAATAAACTCCAAGTCCAAATAAGAACATAACACTACGAAGTACATAACTACAATCTCAAAACAACTCACATGACCAAAACACTATTAAGAACTAAGAAATATTGCCAAGCACAAAAGAATCTTCTTCTCCATAATTCTCCAATACGTATTCTTTATCTGACTCAAAGTCAATATCATTCTCATTAACTTGTTCCTCCTCGTCGGATTCAAAATCTTCTTCCTCAAGCTCTCTAACTCTTGATGAGTCATCCTCAACTTCAAGTCCATTAACCTCCCCATCTTCATCGTCTACTAATCTTGGAATGGTTGTGTTTTACTTGTCTCACTAGCAAGTAACACATCTTTTTCATTCTTCCATTTGCGTTTGTTCAATAAACGCAAATTGAATTGGACATAGATTATATTGTTCATGCGCGAAACATGAAGCCGATACCTCTTTTTCTTTTATGTACTTGAAAATTGTCTAAGTCTCACCTCGGCGCTAGTCGGGTGCCTAGCAACTTCTAAAACACTGGAATTTCTATTTGTTTTGTTATTTCAACTGCTGGCTCTAATTTTTTTCCAACAATGTGGATGATGATCTTCTAAACACAAAGCAAATAGAAATGGCCAACAATTCTTAAGGATTTTAAACTAAAATTGGTCCTACACACAGTTTTAGATAAGGAACATAAGAATCCAGACCACAAATTCCCTACAAATGATCTTAACCATTAGACGAACTAATAAGTACATCAAACTTTTTTCTTGAACGAAAAACCACAAGAAAACTCACCCCATGGATTCAGACACTGAGAATTTAAGAAGTCAGACAGTTGCCATGGAGAAATACAGTTAAAAAAAAGAGCTTCAAAAGCTGGACCAAATCACATTACCTTCACATCATCCTAAATAGGTTGACCTTTCGGGACAATTTGATCCTTAAGCCACATGTAAATCGGAACCAACACATAATAAGTTGCCGCCAGGGCACCGAGCAAGAACCGCCCAAGAAACGCAAAAGGATTATTTATGGGTTTCGACACATCCTCTGTCTTAGGACCAAGCTGCAAAACAGAGAGGAAAAAAAAAAGCCACGAGGGGAAAAAAAAAAGTCACCTGTAAGTTACTTCCCAATATTCACCCAAAGAATTCCATCAAATAAAAAGGAAATACACGCGCAAAGTCATATCCCCCAAACTATTAACAATTATTGAAAAATAAACTGCAAAGATTTCATTTTTCATTTGAAAAGATCCCCTTTTCATTTTTCGTCCTCCCAACGAAAAATCGGAGCTTAAAATTCACAGCTTGCATGGGGAGAAGAACAAATGAAAATATATATATATATATATATCTATATATATATATTGATTCAACGCTGGCCATAAGTTTAAGGGAGAATTCGCTCGACAGGTACACATTAGAGTCACGATTTTACCTGCAAAGGCGAGTCCCCAGAAGCGGGCTTCACACCTGTAACCGAGCATCCCATGATAAGCCCATGCCTACGAACCCCTCGATACCATTTTGGGCCAATCCTTTTAAGTTGCACGTCCTTGAATCCAGCCTTTGCAAACCATTCTATGTACTCTTCTTCCTTGGGGAAAAGCATCCACACATCCGCAAAGAAACGAGACAGCCAAAATGTCGGGTAAACAGGACCAATAATGCAAGCTTTCCCCCCGATTTTGAGAACCCTGTAAGCTTCCCTGATTCCACGCTGAGGGTCTGGCCAGTACTCAATACTGTCAACATTTTCCAAAACGAAACAAAAAAAAAAAAAAAAAAA